GAGGCTGCGGTGGCCGGGAGCAGCCACTGCACTCCAGTCTGGGTGACAGAGTGAGACTCCAAATCAAAAAAATAAAATAAAATAAAATGGGGTGGTCGCTGAGTGCAGTGGTTCAAGCCTATAATTCCCAGCACTTTGGGAGGCCAAGGTGAAAGGATTGTCCGAGCCCATGGGTTCAAGACAAGCCTGGACAACTTGGCAAGATCTCATTTCTACAATAATTCAAAAAAATCAGCCAGGTGCAGTGGTACATGCCTATAATTCCAACTATTTGGAAGGCTGAGGTGGAAGGATTGCCTGAGCCCAGCAGGTCAAGACTGCAGTGGCTGTGAATGAGCCACTTCACTCCAGCCTGGGTGACAGAGTGAGACTGACTCAAAAAAAATTAAATAAAATAAAATAGGGTAATCAAAAAGCCCTCAGAGAAGTGATTATTTCCATCTTGCAGATGAAAAAACTGAGGCACAGAGAGGATACGTAAATTAACAAAGTGGCAGAGCCAAGACTCCAGCCCAGGCATTCTGGCCCCAGAATCTGTGCTCTTAACCCTGCGACTGGTTCTCACAATACTATGATTGGGGTGGCATGCAATGTGGCATCATTACTACTACCACTTGCAACTGCAGGGGGAGAAAGAAGTCGATTCTTACAGGGAGTAGTGAGATAAACTATGAAGTATCTTGGTTCGAGATATAAAGTTGTTGAATAACTAGAGTTGTCTGAAACAGAAGGGGCTGTTCAGGAACAAGGAAGCACTGGAAAGCTGGTGGTTCTCTCAAAAGACCCCTGGGCAGTGACTGACTGCACGGCATGAGGCCCTTCCTCCAATGACGGTACACATATGGTCTGTCTGTGCTTTGGGCATGGTGACTTAGGCTGGGGCATGACAGGGGGTGGTGTCATGAGAATCTGGCTCCTTGCTCAACTCTGGCAGGCAAAGTACCTTGACAGCCACAGTCCCACAGGAATGGGAGGAGGGGACAAAAACCCCAGCCCTATGCAGTCTCCTGTTTCTGCCGAAGTCTGAATTCTGATTTAACTCACTATTCCTTAAACTCCTCCAACACACATAGATGCTGGAACCTCATAAGACTTTTCATAATTTCATGATTACATAGAAAAATAATTTATTTTTGAAATTACAAATAATTTTTCTTTTGAACTTGTACAGGTTTTCAATACTGAGTCCAAAGCTTCTAAAGAACAGTTTCCAATATACATGTTGGGTCTCTCCCCATTAAAAAGGGAAAGAATTCTATTTGGGAACACTTTACATGAGTCCACTTTCCCCAGTACATTCTGCCTCAGAACCTGTCATCAGCGTTCATGAATAAGCTCTTCCCACAACTGGTTTTGAAAAAACTATTTCTGTACCTGCTTTCTTTACTCATTTAAAATAAGATTTTGTAGTTATTCAATGACAAACTAATATCATTGGGATGATACTTTCCAAATATGTACTCAGAACAGACAAAAAAAGTATCTGCTAACATCAGTAGCTTAAATCTCAATGTGGACATTAAAGGTTTTATTTACATGACTACTGTTGACGTTAACTGTTCAATCAAGTAAGATGCTGATTAAGCCATTACTCCACAAATAACCACTTTTTCCAAAGCTGTGTTCATATTTCTCATGCCATACATTTCACAGTAAGGAGCTGAATTTGGTAATAGGTTCTAAAGCCAATAATGAGTCATGACAGGCTGACTTTGACAAATGATCATCTCGTTAAAAAAAATAAAAGCCACAAATGTGTGCTTTTCTTCCCCTTTCTGGACAAAAATCAGTCACAGAATATTTTAGATATATTGCATAGAATGAACAACTTCCTCAAATGAATTAGTCTCCCAGAAGCATAGGATGAGAAGAATGTTTTGGAAATATTTCCTGTAATAAACTCACAACATTAAACATTATCCTATAAATATCTATATTTTTTTTTAGCACTTTCCCAACAAAGATTCTGCCATATAATTTCTATTATTAGCTCTAACAAATAGGGGAAGTATTTTATCCTCATGCAGACACTTTCAGTTTCTTTTTCTTGGCCTTCAGTACAGGAGGCAGAGAAATCTTAAAGGCTGTCCTGAAATGACACAGAGAATGAAAAACTTTTTTAATGCTCTGAATTACTGAAGTGTGAGCCACCCACACAAACTCAAAGATACTTACTCGCATGTAGTGCAGATTGGGCTGAAATTGCAGAATACTATAAATTAAATACAAAAACAAGGTTTAAAAACTACATAGTTAAAATATCTTCCGCCCAACACAGAAAAAAAGGAAAATCAGGAACATGAACTTACTTGACAAACACACAGAACAGACATAGCCAATTTCAATGAGATTTCGATGACAGAAGCAAGCTGCCCTGTAGTCGACATGAATTGGGGGTGGAAGGATTAACTGGGATCTCTGATCTTGATCAGGAAGAAATACCCACTGTAAACAAAAACAGACAAAGGAACTTTCATGTAAATCACGAGAAGAAATAACCTGAAGCCAACCATTCTCAGCTTCGAAACTCCAAGGCCACCCCATTACCTCCTTTCTTCGATTACTGGTATCAGTCATCTTGCTCCCATTCACACCCGGGACACAGGGTCATATTTACTCCAGTCATTAATTAGGGTCACTGCTGCTGTTTCCTTACCAGTAAATACTGCAGAAGGGAAGGCATCTGAGGCACCTTCAAGTACAGCCCTCCCGTGATGTCACAAGCCTGCAAGACACACAAAAGGCTCTCTGTCAAACAAGCATTTACTTGCATTTCCAGAGAAACAGAATTCTCTCACCAGTAATTCTCCTGGTCCACAAAAGGAGAGGTGGATATGACACTGCAAATTAGAAGGGAATGTTTTCCCAGAGTAGGTGAGGACCAGAACCTTCCTGCTACCTCTCAGGATGCTCAAAACATCTTATTTTTCCCCTCTTGACTGACACCCTTCCACCCTTTGAAGACTGTGGCATGGGAGTGCATGCCCCTTCTTCTGTTTGTTTGCTACTGATATATTTTTATTTACCACACTTATTTTCTTTATAATTCAAAACCAACAGCTTTGAGATACTAACATGTCCTAAAATTCACCCTATTAATGTGTCTAATTCAATGGTTTTTAGTAGATTCAGAGTTCACCAGTACTATCTGGTTTTTCTGTTTGTTTGTTTTTGTTTTTTGAGTTGGAGTCTCACTCCGTCGTCCAGGCTAGAGTGCAGTGGCACACTCACGGCCACCCCAGCATTGACCTGCTGGGCTCCTGCGATCCTTCCACCTCAGCCTTCTAGGCAGCCGGAACTACAGGTGTGCGCTACCATGCCCAGCTAATTTTTTATTTATTGTAGAGACAAGGTCTCACCAAGTTGTCCGGGCTGGTCTTGAACCCACAGACTCAAGCAATCCACTCACCTCACCTCCCAAAGTGCTGGGATTACAGGCTAAGCCGCCAAGTCCAGTCTGGTTTTTTAATAGGAGTCTCCCTCTGTCTTCCAGGCTGGAGTGCAGTGGCATGCTCACAGATCTTTCCACCTCAGCCTTCCAAGTAGCTGGAACCACAGGCATGCGCCACCTTGCCCAGCTAATTTTTGGATTTATTACAGAGATGAGGTCTCGTCAAGTTGTCCAGGCTGGTCTAGAACCCCTGGACTCAGGCAATCCTCTCACCTCTGCCTCCCAAAGTGCTGGGATGAGAGGTGTGAGCCACCATGCCTGGCTTAATTCCAGTATTCTCTTCCCTCCAGAGGGAAGCTCTGTACCCATGATCAGCCATTCCCCATTCATCTCTCCCCAACCCCCAGCAACGACCAATTGGCTTTTTGTCTATGGATTTCCCTATTTTGGAAATTTCATATAAACAGAATCATACAAAATGTGGCCTTTTGGACTGGTCTTCTTTTCATTAACATAATGTTTTCCAGGTTTCTCCATGCTGTAGCACGCATCAGCACTTCATTCCTTCTTCTAAAGGAGAATATTCCATTGTATGGATATACCACCATCTGTTTATCCATTCTTCAGTGAATGGACACGGGATTCCTTCCACTTTGGGGCTGTTTTGAATAACATAGCTATGAATATTCATGTATTCATGAATAAATTTCTGTGCGGATATATGTTACAGTTCTTTTGAGTATATATCTAGGAGTAGAACTACTGGGCCACATAGCAATTCTGTGTTTAAGTTTTCAAGGAAGTTCCAAACTGTTTTCCAAAGTGGCTATGCCATTTTACACTCACAGCAGCAGTGCAGGAGGGATCCAGCTTCTCTGTATCCTCACTGACACTTATCAGCTCATTCTTTTGTTTTGTTTTGTTTTTGGGTTGAAGTCTCACTGTTGCCCAGGCTGGAGTGCAGTAGCATGCTCATGGCCACCCAGCGTCGACCTGGTGGGCTCTGGTGATCCTTCTGCTTCAGCCTTCAAAGTAGCCGGAACTACAGGCGTGCGCTACCACGCCCGGCTAATTTTTATTTACTTATTGTAGAGATGAGATCTCACCAAGTTGCATGGGCTGGTCTCGAGCCAGCAGGCTCATGCAATCCACTCGCCTCAGCCTCCCAAAGTGCTGGGATTATAGGCTGAGCCACTGAGCCTGGCCATCAGATCACTGTTTTACTACAGCCATCTTAGTGGAGTGAAGTGGCATCTCACTGTTAACTCTGATTTGCATTCCCCAGTCACTAATAATATTGAGCATCTTTGCATACGCTTAGTGGCCACTTGTAGGTACTCTTTAGAGAAATGTCTTTGGCTGGGCGTGGTGGCTTATGCCTGTAATCCCAGCACTTTGGGAGGCCAATGTGAGAGGACTGCCTGAGCCCATGGGTTCAATACCAGCCTGGGCAGCTTGGCGAGACCTCGTCTCTACAATAAATCAAAAACTTAGCCGGGTGTGGTGGCATGTGCCTGTAGTTCCAGCTATTTGGAAGGTTGAGGCAAAAGGATGGCCTGAGTCCAGCAGATCAAGGCTGAGGTAGCCATGAGTGTACCACTGCACTTCAGCCTGGGTGACAAAGTAAGAGACTCCAACTCAAAAAAAGAAAAGAAAATAAATGTCTTTGCTTATTTTTATTTCTTTTTTAAAATTATTTATTTATTTATTTATTTTTGAGTTGGAGTCTCACTCTGTCGCCCAGACTGGAGTGCAGTGGCCGCTCCCGGCCACCGCAGCCTCGTCCCTCTGGGCTCCGGCAATCCTTCCGCCTCAGCCTTCCAAGTAGCTGGACCTACAGGCGCGCACTACCACTCCCAGCTAATTTTTGATTTATTGTGGAGATGAGGTCTCGCCAAGTTGCCCCAGCGGGTCTTGAACCCACAGGCTCAGAATCCACTCACCTCAGCCTCCCAAGGTGCGGGATTACAGGCTGAGCTACCGAGCCCGGCTTATTTTTTTTAATTTTTAAGTCGGAGTTTCACTCTGTCCTCCCAGGCTAGAGAGTGCAGTGGCACGATCACAGCCACAGCAGCCTCAACCTGCTGGGCTCAGGCGACACTTCAGGCTTCCAACTAGCTGGAATTTGTCAGTTTTAAGAGTTCTTCATGTAATCTGAATACAAGTCTCTTTATCTATCTTTTTTTTTTTTTTTTTTGAGTAGGAGTCTCACTCTGTAGCACAGGCTGGAGTGCAATAGCATGCTCATGGTCATCCTCAACCTGCTGGGCTCAGGTGATCCTTCCCCCTCAGTCTTCCAAGTAGCTGAAATCACAGGTATATGTCACCACATTCAGCTAATTTTTTTATTTATTGTAGAGTCAAAGTCTTGCCATGTTGCCCAGGCTGGTCTCGAACCTGTGGGCTCAGGCAATCCTCTCACTGCTGCCTCCCAAAGTGCTAGGATTATAGGCATGAACCACAGCACCTGGCCCTAAAATTTTATCTTAATTAATTTTTTAGAAACAAAAAGAGAGCCTGGGCACAGTGGCTGAAGCCTGTAATCCCAGTACTTTGGGAGGCTGAGGCAAGAGGACTGCCCGAGACCAGGGGCTTGAGACCAGCCTGGACAACTTGGCAAGACCTCATCTCTACAATAAAAAAAAAAAGAAGTAAAAATAGAGACAAGGTCTCCTGGTATTGCCCAGGCTGGTCTTGAACTCCTAGGCTCAAGCAATTCTCCCACAATTCTCCCAAAGTGTTGGGTACAGGCTTAAGCCACTGTGCTCAGCCTGCGGGCATCACTTCTAGTACCTCCACCAAAAAAAGAAAAATTAATAGATAAAATTAGTTTTAATAACATATTTTACTAAGTCAATATATCCAAATCATTATCATGTCATTGTGTAATCGACATAAAGATTTTTTTGTTTTTTTGCGTCAGAGTCTCACTCTGCCATCCAGGCTACAGTGGTCTAATCATGGCTCATGGTTCAGGTGATCCTCCTTCCTCAGCTTCTCAAGAAGCTGGGACTATAGGCACGCACCACCATGCCCAGGTAAGTTTTTTATTTTTTGTAGAGATGGAATCATTCTATGTTGCCAAGACTGGTCTCAAACTCCTAGACTCAAGCAATCTTCCTGCCTCGGCCTCCCAAAGTGCTAGAATTACAGTTGTGAGCCACTGTGTCTGACCCCAAAATCATTAATTTTCATAATCACCAACACCAAGCATTCTTTTAAAACATACCTGTTGGAGGAGCCCTGAGTCGGAGTCTAAAACACAGGCATCGATCAAAATATTCTGAAAGGAACATTTAAAAACTATTATAAGAATAATAACAATAATGGCCACTTACATTGAGAACCCCCTACGCGTTGGACTCTAGCTTAAAAGAGCTCATTGAACATGCATGATGATTCTACACGGCAGACATTTCACTTGCATCTGGTAGCTGAAGACCCAGGACGTGGCTGGACTGTGGCCACAGAGCCAGCAGGTGGCAGAGCTGTCCCCCCCACTGTGCCTATCGCCAAGGTCCCTGCTCTTTTCACTGCATCACGTTGCCACTCCACAACAGGGAATATCACACATGGCTACTGCAGCATTTTACAGCAAGACCAGATTTAAGAAGGTTTTCTTTCTCTATAAACATAAAATGTATGCATAATCCATTTGAACATTTAAGTTACTTGCAAAGTAAAAATACTGAATCTTTATATACTTCGCAAATTAAAGAGAAACTGAGGCAAAGTTTATGCAGCAAACTGTCAAATCAGAGATTATCAGCGTGAGTTCCAAGGATATTATCTGAATACCATGAAACTATATGCAAAAATGTCTTGTTTTGTTTCGCTTTTTGGAGTCACTCTGTCTCCTGGAGTATAGTGCATGCTCACAGCTTACCCCAGCCTTGACCCCTGGGCTCAGGCGATCCTTCTGCCTCAGTCTCTAAAGTAGCTGGGGCCACAAGCATGTGCCATCATATCTAGCTAATTTTTTAAAAAATATTTTGTAGAGATGAGGTCTTACTATGCTGCTTAGACTGGTCTTGAACTTTTGGGCTCAAGCAATCCTCTTGCCTCGCCCTCCCAAAGTGCTGGGATTACAGGCATGAGCCATTGCACCTGATATGCAAAACTGAGTGCACATTGTCCCGGGGACCCACCCAATTCTCACATAGTCCAGGGTCCAAAATAGAAAAATGATTAGTACACAATAAGGATTCTGGATTCCCAGCCCATTAATAAAGCTATTTAGTCAGAATGCCTCTCTGAGTAGGTCATTCGAAAAATGAAACCGGTTCCTTCATTACAAAGTAAATATTCTTAAAAGGAAAGCTTTCAATTTACCTGCTTCTGTGCCGCGAAGACAACATTCATGAAGTTCATATACTGCAATGCACTGTCTTCTGCAGCCTTAATCACCTAAACATCACAGTCATGTTAAAACCTCTCAGCCACATCGCCGGACTCTTGGTCAAATGTCATACAATATGCCTCGACCCATGACCAACGTTATTTTTCCAGTTTGTCTTTCCATTTATCATTATTAAATAATACCTAAAGTGCAAAGATGACAGCAACATTTCCCCCAAATGCTACTACCCAAAGGGAGGTAACAGTTTGATGAACATTCTACTAGAGAGCACTTGTGAGCACAAGTATACACACTCAAGCCCAAAATACACATACAGGCATAATAGGATGACACTCTACCTAGTGTTCCACAATCTGCTGTTTCAGCCTGCAACTTATGGGAGGAAATTTTTTATGTCGATTAATTAGAATACATATATATGTCTCACTCTGTCACCCAGGCTGAAGTGCAGGGGCATGCTCACAGTCACCGCAGCCTCAACCTGCTGGGCTGAGATGATCCTTCCACCTCAGCCTTCGAAGTAGCTGGACCTACAGGCATGCACCACCACGCCTGGCTAATGTTTTGATTTATTATAGAGATGACGTCTCACCAAGTTGCCCAGGTTGGTCTTGAACCTGTGAGCTCAGGCAGTCCTCTCGCTTCAGCTTCCCAAAGTGCTGGGATTATAGGCAAGAGCCACCGCACCCAGTATATATGTATGTGTTTTTTTTTTAAGTAGAGTCAGGGTCTTACATTGTTGCCCAGGCTGGTCTCAAACTCCTGGGCTCAAGTGATCCTCCCTCTACAGCCTCCCAAAGTGATGGGATTACACTAAGTCCCCTATATATGAACAGGTTCCATTCCAAGAGTGCATTCGTAAGTCCGATTTGTTTATAAGCCCGGCAAAGTTAGTCTAGGTACCCAACTAACACAATTGGCTACCTAGTACTGTACCAGCTACACCAGCACTGCTTTTGTTTTTTGGTTTTTTTTTTTTGAGTTGGAGTCTCACTCTGTCGCCCAGACTGCAGTGCAGTGGCTGCTCCTGGCCACCGCAACCTCAACCTGCTGGGCTCCGGCGATCCTTCCGCCTCAGCCTTCCCAGTAGCCGGAATTACAGGTGCGCGTTACCACGCCCGGCTAATTTTTTGATTTTATTGTACAGATGAAGTCTCGCCTGCCCAGGCAGGTCTCGAACCCGCGGGCTCAGGCAATCCATTCACCTCAGCCTCCCAAAAGCGCGGGATTACAGGCTGAGCCACCGAGCCCGGCTCCAGCACTGCTTTTACATGCACTTTTGGACATCCTGGTCTTGAAATAAATTATATTGTCCTATTATACTCTATACAGTACTCTAATGTATACAAACGCACAACCACTTGTAGAGGATGCATGCCTGTGACAACGTACACCAGACACATGAACTAACTTATGTGACGACATGAGAACACATGTTCGCATTTTTGAAAGTTCACAACTTGAAGGTTTGTATATAGGGGACTTACTGTACAGGCATGAGTCATCATGTCTGGTCAAACTAGAATACACACTTCTTGCTGACTTCATAAATTTCTACCATTCAACCAATTATCTATAGGGGCTATTTAATCAGTTTCCAATTCTCAGTTTTAAACAATGCTCTGACAACACCCTCATAGACCCTTTACAAAACTCCCTAATTACCTGCAAAAGATCATCAATGATTGCTAAAGCATATGCATATTTAATTTTGACACAGATTGCCAAACTACCTTCCAGAATAATCAATACCAATTCCAATCTATCCTCCCATCAGTAATGCATGGGAATAACCAATCCCCAACACTGCTGTCAACCCTGGGTACTGCCAGATTTTTCACCTGTGCCAAGCAGCAAACAATGAAAATCCCATTATTTGACGTTTCTCTGCTTATGAGTAAGACTGAACATATCTTCAAATACCAAAACTGACCCCTGATTTCTTCTTTTGCAGACTGCTAATTTTCTACCTGTTTTTCTTGAGTAAAGCTTAACTTTAAAAAATTAATTTATAAGAACTCCTTTTTATTTTAGAAATAGTAGATTAATTCTCTATCAGGTAGCTCTGCTGAAAATACTTTTCCTAATACTTTTCTTTCATTTTTATTTTGGGAGTTTTATGTTTTTGTTTTGTTTTGTTTTGTTTGAGTTGGAAGCCCAGACTGGAGTGGGCCACCGCCGCCTCGACCTGCTGGGCTCCGGCAATCCTTCCGCCTCAACCTTCCAAGTAGCTGGAACTACAGGTGCGTGCTACTATACCCAGCTAATTTTTTGATTTATTGTAGAGATGAGATCTCGTCAAGTTGCCCAGGCAGGTCTTGAACCCGCGGGCTCGGGCAATCCACTCATCTCGGCCTCCCAAAGTGCGAGATTACCGGCTGAGCCACTGAGCCTGGCCAAGTTTTATATTTTTGAGGCAAAAAGCTTTCCTTTAAAGTTCCACATCATGTTTAGAAGGAACACACCTTTCCCAAATTATCAACAGATACTTTCTTCTAGCACTTTTTATGACCTGAATATTTACAATGAAATGATGGATCTTGACTAGAATGTATTTAGAATAAGCAGTGAGACAGGGACCCAGCTCTGTTTCCCCCTAAATAGCCAACCAACTGGCCCAGCACCTTTTATTGAATAATCAATTTTCTTCCCACTAATTTGAAGTGTTCCTTTGTGACAAGTCAGATTCCCACATGTACTGTTTTATTTCTGGACTCTAGTCTTTCCCATATTGTTTGTGAACTACAACATCAGTACTACACTGTTACTACAGCCTTACAATGTGTTTTAATGACTACCAGAGCAAGTTCCTACTTATTCGTTTTCAGAAAGTTCCTGAGTATTCTTTTTGATTTCTTTTCCCAGATAAACTTGCGTTTCTTTTTTAAATCTCCTCACCCTGCCAGGAAAAAACACTCACTGATATTCTGACTGAGAGTGCACTGAATTTACAGTGTGATTCAGAAAAAAATTGACATCTAAGAATAAAACATAACTCTTCACTTGTTCAATTCTTCTATTTCTCTCAGAATTTTAGTTTTTCTACATAGTTTTACACATTGCTTGTTTTAAATTAATTCTAGATAGTTAATATGTTTTACTTCTATTATGAGTCTTATTTCCCACAATGTTTTTTAATTGTCTAAAGTTGTATATAAGCATAGAAATGATTTTTTAAATCTTACCAATATTCTTGATTTCATTTCCTGATTATCTATAAAGAGATAAAAACATTAGAATTGAATTAAATCTTATTAAACATACATGATTTTGTAACCAATTTTTTTTTAAAGCAAGATTTATTGAGAGGACAGAAAAGCTCCCACAGTGAGAGGGGACCCAAAGGGGTTGCCTGTAACCAATTTTTAAAGAGCCCACCAAACACACAGTAGCAAAATAAGTAGAATTATAGTTTTCATTAAAAAACATAGATTCCTACCTTTAACTTCTTTGTTCATTCTATGAATGTCTTAATTTCTTAGCATTAAGGAATACAAAAATATTATTTTATTTCATAAATATTTATAGTAAACAGAAAAATAACCTCAAATTTTAGTTAAATAAATTCACCACCCACCTAGTAAAAAAAAGAAAAACTTTACTTACTGTGATACTCAAGTGTGATTGGGGGTTTTCAATTACTAATTCTGCAATCAACCTGGCTTTGTTAACTGATCTAAATATGATCTTTGTCTCAGAAGACTAAAATTACCAACACTTATCCTGTTATCTACCTCACCCTACACTTGAATACTAAGACCACAAGTATTCATTGATAAAGATGATCAAACAACCTAAATCAGAGTTCTAGGAAAAAGGAATCAGTACTGTCCAAAACAGAAATAACTACCTAAGACTGAGAGAATAGCACACAGATAAAATTGAAATGCTCAGAAAGGTGCTGCTGCTCCATGCTAAGTGCAGAAAAATTTGTTCACTTGCACTGAAGCAGCCATGTGTTTATTAAGCTTCAGGGTCAGTAAATAGCTTTTAAAATCAAACACCATTCCCAACTCAAAGAAAACAAAATTCTTTAAAAGCCTCAATTCATCAAAATAAGAAATAAGGAAGCATCCTGAAGAAAACCAAAGAAACCAGAGAGTTTTCTCAATCTTCCTGCTTCAAAGTTTTACAGCTTGTCTTAAAAACATTTCAAAGCCTAGATAATTTTTAATTATCCACCACTTTAGAATACTCACAATCTCCGTTAATGGACACCCAAGGTTCCAAAAAATGTGCCAAGTTAAAATGTGTGAGCTCCAGAAGATAACTTCTGGATGATGTAGACACCAAGGATACAGCAAAGGGCTTTGGCCAGGGATCCAGCCAGCAGAGCCTCTGTCTGTTGGCCTTTTATGTCACCTACAAATAATAAAACATAGCAACAAGGGAACATTTCAGTACTTTCTTGAACTAAAATCACTTAATACTTTTTTGAACTAAGTATACTTTTAAACCAAAGTATTCTTCATGAATGAAAGCAAACAACATTTTCTTGGTTTGTTTTTTTTTTTTTTGAGTTGGAGTCTCACTCTGTCACCCAGACTAGAATGCAGTGGCCGTTCCCAGCCACCGCAGCCTCGACCTGCTGGGCTCCGGTGATCCTTCCGCCTCAGCCTTCCGAGTAGCTGGCACTACAGGCGCACGCTACCATCCCTGGCTAATTTTTGATTTATTGTAGAGATGAGGTCTTGCCGAGTTGCTCACGTGGGTCCCGAACCCGCGGGCTCAGGCAGTCTACTCACCACAGCCTCCCAAAGAGCTGGGATTACAGGCTAAGCCACCGAGCCCGGCCAGTTTTTGAAATTTTTAATGTAAAATTTACATAACTATTTTAACTTTTTTTTTTCCTTGAGTTGGAGTCTTACTCTGTTGCCCAGTCTGGAGTGCAGTAGGCATGCTCACGGCCACCACTGCCTCGACCTGCTGGGCGCAGGCGATCCTTCCGCCTCAGCCTTCCAAGTAGCTGGAACTACAGGCACACACTACCATGCCCGGCTAATTTTTTTGATTTATTGTAGAGATGAGTTCTCCCCAAGTTGCCTGGGCAGGTCTCGAACCTGTGGGCTCAGGCAGTCCACTTGCCTTGGCCTCCCAAAGTGCTGGGATTACAGGCTGAGGCACCAAGCCCGGCCCATTTGAATTATTTTTAAGTGTACGTTTCAGTAGCGTTGAGTATAATCTCGTTGGTGTGCAATCATCATCATCATCATCATCATCATCCATCTCCAGAACTTTTTCCTCTTCCCAAACTGAAACACTGTGTCAGTTAAACAATAATTCTCCATTCTCCCTGCCCCCAGCACCAGCATATTTTAAAGTGAGAAAAGATTTAAAAGTTGCTTATGTAAGTATTACTGAGGACAGATTGCTATCTATGTTTTTTAACTCAGTTTGAAAATGTTGTTTGAAGCCAGGCTCAGTGGCTCAGCCTGTAATCCCACGCCTTGGGAGACTGAGGTGAGTGGACTGCCTGAGCCCGCGGGTCTCAAACCCGCCTGGGCAACTTGGTGAGACCTCATCTCTACAATAAATCAAAAAATTAGCCAGGCGTGGTAGTGCGCACCTGTAGTTCCAGCTACTTGGAAGGCTGAGGCGGAAGGATCGCCGGAGCCCAGCAGGTCAAGGCTGCGGTGGCCGGGAGTGGCCACTGCACTCCAATCTGGGCGACAGAGTAAGACTTCAACTCAAAAAAAAAAAAAAAAAATTCCAAAAACTGGTAAAATGCCAAATTTTGTTATCTATATTTTACCATAATAAAAACATTAATTAAAATATCCTGTTGTTATTTGGAAAAGTTCAAGTTTATTAATGATCTGCATGATACAAAATGTCACACACACAAGCAGGCAGCCCGGACAGGGACAAGGTTCCGGGGCTCCCTGCATCCGTCTTCTACTACCCCTTCCTTTCCATCACCCTCCATGCTTAGCCAGTGAAAAGAAGTCTGGAGATACTCTTTCCCCTGGCTTCAGGAAGCAGGAAAAAGTTTGCCACTTGTTTGGTGCCTTGGGTGAAAAAGTCACTCAAGAAATCAAAATCCTAAACTTGCATTTCAAGACTGTATGAAGCCTAGACTTAAACCGTGAAAACCAGCTTGTAGTTGGTCTAAGAGAACTGAACCCCATGGATAAAGTCAGATCAGGAAAGGTCTTGAATACTATCCTGAGAAAGTTGAGACTTTACCCAGGAGGCCAGTGGTTCTCAAAGAGAGATTCTGGAACAAGCTACAGAAGCATCACCTAGGAATGCAATAGAAATACAAATTCTCTAGGCTGGGTGTGGTGGTTCACACCTATAATCCCAGCACTTTGGGAGGCCAAGGTGAGAGGCCTGCCTGAGCCCATGGGTTCGAGACCAGCCTGAGCAACTTGGCGAGACCTCATCTCTACAATAAAAATTAGCCGGGCACGGTGGCTTGTACCTGCAGTTTCAGCTACCTGGAAGGCTGAGGCGGAAGGATCACCTGAGCCCAGCAGGTCGAGGCTGCAGTGGCCATGAGCATGCCACTGCATTCCAGCCTGGATGACAGAGTGAGACTCCGGCTCAAAAAAAATGATGATAACTATGGAGGCTAAGTGGAAAGGCTTGGCTGAGGAGAAAGGAGTCAGAAGTTGGAGGAAGCTCTTACAATTATTTCGAGCAGCAGCTCTAAACTTGGAAGGGGCAGTAAACGTGCACTCCCAGGGTACATTAGCAATGTCTGAAGATGTATTTGATTGTCACAGCTGGGGGGTTTTATGGCATCTACTGGGTTGAGGCCAAGAATGCTGCTATACATCCTACAATGTGTAGGACAGCCCCCACAACAAAGAATTATCCAGCCCAAAATTTAAGATGTCAGATTTTGGAGATACTTCTGCGGTGAAACCACTGGGACTCTGTAGCCACTTAGATGTTGGGTGTGAGAAGCAGTCAAAAATGAAAGTTTTAAATTTGGAAAGCTAAGTGGACGGGGTGAAAGAAACAGAGAACAGAAATGGTGGTGTCATTAAGGGCAAAGAGCATGAAACTAGTCTGGGTCATGTTAAGAAACTGTGAGCTGCTTAAATGGAGACACGCGAGCTTGAAAGAAAGTCTGGGTTAGGCTGGGTACAGTGGCTGACACCTGTAATCCCAGTGCTTTGGGAGGCTAAGGCAGGAAGATTACTTGAGCCCAGGAGTTCAAGACCAGCCAGGACAACATAATGAGACTCCTGTCTCCATAAAAAATTTTTTTTTTTATTAGCTGGACATGATGGTATGCATCTGTAGTCCAAGCAACTCAGGAGGCTGAGGCTAGAGGACCGCTTGAATCTAGAAGTTGGAGGTTGAAGTGAGCCAAGACTGTACCACTGCACTCCAGCCTGGGTGTCTCAAAAAAAAAGAAACTCTGGGTTACAGACAAAGATTGGGAAGAGCCCATATATAAATGGTAATTATACCAGGCTCGGTGGCTCAGCCTGTAATCCCGCGCCTTTGGGAGGCTGAGGTGAATGGACTGCCTGAGCCCACGGGTTCGAGACCCGCCTGGGCAGCGAGACTTCATCTCTACAATAAATTTTTAAAAAATCAGCCAGGCGTGGTAGCGCATGCCTGTAATTCCGGCTACTTGGAAGGCTGAGGCGGAAGGATCGCCAGAGCCCAGCAGGTCGAGGCTGCGATGGCCGGGAACAGCCACTGCACTCCAGTCTGGGCAACAGAGTGAGACTCCAACTCAAAAATAAAATAAAATATAATAAATGGTAATTAAAGACAAAAGTGGAAAAGAACGTAGAGGAGGAGAAAAGAAAATCATATGAACAAAAATTTTTAAAAATATACTGAGATAGAATGAAGGAAAAGCCAGAAATGGGGACTAAGAAAGAATGGTAAAAAAGAGGGAAAATGGGTCAACAGGACATCATTAGAAGTCAAAAAGTGTTTAAGGAAGTAAAGTCTGGTCAATTGTCAAATGCTGTAGAGGTCAGGCACACAATGCGTAGACTTTGATGAAATGCTTTACAAAGAAAAGAGAGTGTTCAAGCTGACAGTATCAAAAACTTCCAATATCTGAGCTTAAAACCTCAAGGCCCTCCCAAATCAATCCCATTTGCAAAATAACAATTAAAAAAGCTGTTACTCTTGGTCATTAGATCCTTAATCTCTTCAGCAATAACTTCATTTGCTGCTGTTAACAGCTCGTATTTTCCATCTTTACTCCCAGAGGGATTAAATTCAGAAGGAGGGTTGCCAGGGTCCCCAAAGAAGTCTCCAACTCGGCCATTCTTCCCAGGATACAAAAATCGACTGAAACAGCAGGGGGAAAACCTAGTTACACCAGGATGTATTGCTCACACTCTCACTCATCATCAGAATGACACTCAGCAGAGAAAACAGAAATCACACCAATTTTGGACTTAGAAGAGTTTATAATACATTTCATTTTTTTAATGTATAAAACACAGCTGGGTGCAGTGGCTCATACCTGTAATCCCAGTACTTTGGGAGGCGGAGGCGAGGACTGCCTGAGCCCAGGGGTTCAAGACCAGCCTGGACAACTTGGTGAGGCCTCGTTGATCCAACAAATCAAAAATTAGTCGGGCATGGTGGCACGGACCCATAGTTCTACTTGGAAGGCTGAGGCAGAAGGTCTGCCTAAGCCCAGCAGATTGAGGCTGCAGTGGGTATGAGTGTGCCACTGCATTCTAGCCTGAGTGACAGAGTGAGACTCCAACTCAAAACAAAAAAGGTATAAAGCAAGCAAGATGGCAAAGATTCATCTATCACATAGAAAGTCTTCATGGTTCCAGTGTTTTCTGAAAAATGAGTGGAAATCAAGAGAGTGCTGGGTTACGGTCCCTGAAACACTTAAGAGGGTTCCCATGCCAGGCATGGTGGTTCACGCCTGTAATCCCAGCACTTTGAGAGATGGAGTCAAGAGGATCTCCTGAGCCCGAGGGCTCAAGACCAGCCTGGGTAACTTGGCAAGACCTCGTCTCTACAATAAAAAAAAAAACTAGCTGGGCATGACGGTGCACATCTGTAGTTCCAGCTACTTGGAAGGCTGAGGCAGAAGGATTGCTTGAGCCCAGCAGGTCGAGGCTGCAGTGGCCATGAGCATGCCACTGTACTCCAGCCTGGGCACAGAGTGAGACTCCAACTCAAAAAAAACAAGAGGAGTGTACATGCTTTCCTTTCACAGAAGACAATCAGAAGAGATTCATGCCAAATTACTACTAGTTTGTTATTATTTGGTTTTGCTTTTTTTTTTTTTTTTTTTGACACAAGTTCTCACTCCATTGCCCAGACTGCAGTGCAGTAACACAGTCCTGGCTCACCACAGCCTCCAACTCCTGGACTGAAGCAATTCTCCCGCCTTGGCCTCCCAAAGTGCTGAGATTACAGGCATGAGCCACCATGCCCAGTGTAGTTTATTATTTAAGGTATGCATTATCTAGCCCAGTAATAAAAATTTAGCCCAAAGGTCCCTGAAAAGATTCTCCTAGTGCTTCATGACTCTTAAGGTAATTACATAAGGGATTTCAACAATCAACTTTTTTTATTAAAAAAAAAGATAAGAAAACTTTGCCTATTATAGCTTTTACTGGTACCTTAACCAAACTTACACAGGAATTCAATTCTACAGTCAGCACATAATGTAACAAGTAAATATGATCAGATTTGTTCATGAAAATCCTTGCCGTATACACGGCCACATTTACACACCAGCAGCAGGCTTCGCACCATCTCGTGGTGAGTCGAACAGCCAATTTTTACACAAACATTAAAAAATGATCACTGTTTCTTCCACCGAGCACAAGATGGGGTAGTTGGCTTGGTTTAGAAGCTGATGTTGTAAGAACAACTCTTATTTCTAAAAAGAAACACCCACAGAACAGTGAAGTGTCAAGCCATGAGAGCTGCACAGAGCTGAAGGGAAAGTCACATCTCCCATCTTAGCTGCCCTCTGGGACAGACACATCATGAGAAGACAGCTAAGGGGAAGTACCTGCCCAATTTGATAGTTCTCCTACCTTTTTCTACCTAGATAATATAGTTTAATCTGTGCAAATTACACGTGCCATTGTGCAGCTCTACCATCCATCAGTCATGAAGTTTTCAATAGTATCACAATGTACATGCACTGGTCTTGATGTTGTGGCTATTGTCCACTGGCAGAGACAACATTTTCTTTTTTCTTTTTTCTTTCTTCTTTTTTTTTTTTTTTTGAGTTGGAGTCTCACTCTGTCGCCCAGACTGGAGTGCAGTGGCCTCTCCCTGCCACCGCAGCCTCGACCTGCTGGGCTCCGGCGATCCTTCCGCCTCAGCTTTCCAAGTAGCCAGAATTACAGGTGTGCGCTACCACACCCGGCTGATTTTTTTGATCTATTGTAGAGATGAGGTCTCGCCAAGTTGCCCAGGTGGGTCTCGAACCTGCGGGCTCAGGCAATCCACTCACCTCAGCCTCCCAAAGGTGCGGGATTATAGGCTGAGCCACCAAGCCCGGCTTCTTTTTTTTGAATTGATATCTCACTCTGTCACCCAGGCTGGAGTGCAGCACAATCATGGCCACTGCAGCCTCAACCTGCTAGGCTCAGCCAACCCTTCCACCTTAGCTTTCCAAGTGTCTGGAGCTGTAGGCAAGCCCCACTATGTCTGGCTAATTTTTTGATTTATTGTAGAGACGAGGTCTTGCCAAGTTGCCCAGGCTGGTCTCGAACCCCTGGGCTCAGGCAATCCTCTCACCTCCACCTCCCAAAGTGCTAGGATTATAGGTGTGAGCCACCAGGCCCAGCTAGAAATCATTTTCTTTTGCGACATGGAATAGGAATAGTACTTGCCAACTGACATGAGAGCACATGAATGTTAAGGACTGAACAAGAAAAGGGATCACAGTGGTCATACCTTTCTTGAATGTGACTTGCTATCACAGCAAGTTTGTTGGAACGATTCATGAACAAATGGGAATTTCCCAGCACCATCACAGCATCTATGCATTTGGATAAAGTAAACTGTTGAAAAAAAAGAAGACATTAGGAAAACAAATGAGGTATTCAAATAATCCAATATTTCAGGCCTTGAAATGATTAAAACTTCATTTAAGTTTTAGGTAATTATTCACTGTTAAAGATTTGCTTAGGAGGTCCCCTCCTCCAAAGCCATAAGCAAAAACACTTGAAAATGAGTTTTCTCGTTTTTCTTATATAAGATCACTTCTACATTAGCCTAATATGTCACAAATATTTTCTGTAACACATTTAGGAAACAACAAACGTCACATCCTTTGTGATAAAATTATTATCAAACTATTGCTACACGTGCAGGAGATAACTAATACATACTGGACAAATTGGAGATTTGCAGTTTTATTTTTTTGGTTTTTATTTTTTTGAGTCGGAATCTCACTCTGTCACTCAGGCTGGAGTGCAGTGGCACTCTCACGGCCACTGCAGCCTTGACCTGCTGGGCTCAGGCGATTCTTCTGCCTCAGCCTTCCAAATAGCCAGAACTATAGGCGTGCGCCACAATGCCCAGTTAATTTTTGGATTTATTATAGAGACGAGGTCTTACCAAGTTGCCCAGGCTGGTCTTGAACCCGTGGGTTCAGGTAATCCTTTCACCTTGGCTTCCCAAAATGCTGGGATGACAGGCATGAGCCACAGCACCCGGTTGATTTGCTGTTTTCAATTCATTTAGTCCCCAAATATACTGAGCACCCACTATATACCAGGCAAAGATTCCTTCTGTCAAGGAGCTTACATTCTCACAAGTACTGAGATGACTAAGAAACAAAAGTGTGGTTTTTTTTCCCAGTGCTCTACACATTCAGAGAAACTTCTCTAGCAACGAACTCTACAGATGATCCTAAGCTGAGCACAATGGCTCATACCTGTAATCCCAACACTCTGGGAGTCTGAGGCGGGAGAACTGCTTAAGCCCAGGAGTTCCAGATCAGTCTGGGCAACATGCCAACTCAGCACAACTAAAAATCAAAAAAGTACTAGCCAGGTCTAGTGGCACAGGCCTGTAATCCCAGCTACTCAGGTAGTTGAGGCAGAAGGATCGCCTGATCCCGGGAGGTTGAGGCTGTAATGAGTCATGATTGTACCACTGCACTCCAGCCTCAGGGACTCCAACTCAAAAAAAAGAAAAGAATTAGCCAGGTGTAGTGGTGCCCACCTGTAGTCCCAGCTACTTGGGAGGCTGAGGTCGAGGCTGCAGTGAGTATGACCGTGCCACTGCACTTCAGCCTGGGCAACAGAGTGAGACTCTTACTCAAAAACAATAACAACAAAAATCCTTAAAAGTATAGTCCTCATATGAGGAGGGACCCAAAAAATACTGGAATTTATTTATAAAAAAATCATATGTTTAGCCAGGCTTGGTGGCTCAGCCTGTAATCCCACACTTTGGGAGGCTGAGGCGAGTAGACTGCCTGAGCCCGCAGGTTCGAGACCCGCCTGAGCAACTTGGCGAAACCTCATCTCTACAATAAATCAAAAAATTAGCCGGGCGTGGTAGCAAGTGCCTGTAGTTTCAGCTACTCGGAAGGCTGAGGCAGAAGGATCGCCGGAGCCCAGTGGGTAGAGGCTGCAGTGGCCAGGAGCGGCCACTACACTCCAGTCTGGGTGACAGAGTGAGACTCCAACTCAAAAAAAAAAAATCATATGTTTATTCTTTGTAGTGAAGGAACAGTTCCATATCTTGATTATGATGGTGGTTAACAAATGTATGCATGTGTTAAAATGGCACAAAACTATACACACACACACATGCACACACACATATGAGTGCATACAAAATGTGCAATCTGAACAAGGCCTGTGGATTTCACCAACAGTTTCAATATTGTGCTACAGCTATGTAAGATAAGCTATGTAAACTAGGAGAAGCTGGGTGAAGGGGATCTCTCTGTACCATTTTCTATAGTTTTCTGTGACTCTATAATTCTTTCAAAGTAGAAAAAAATTTTTTAAAGACTACATATTGCATGAAGCCAATATATGAGATGTCCAGAAAAGGCACTATAGCGACAGAAGGCAGAGGAGTGGCTGCCTGCAGCTTGGAGGCAGAAGCAGGGACAAGGGAACTTTATGCAGCAAATGGTCTAAAATGGAACTGTTTGCTGGTTACACAACTTCACAAATTCACTTTTAAAAAAAAAATCACTGAATTGCGGGTGGATTCTATGGCATGTAAATCATACCTTAATTACAAAAGCAATAAACACACACTCAGTTAAAACAGAAACATACAAAGGCACCTCAAGCAGTCTTACCTGAGACTCCTTCAATGCTTGCTTTCCCCACCAAATTGGGTTGGTATCAACTATGATAACTAGAAGATTCAATTCATCTTCTGAAAATATTAACAAGAAATATAATTCTAAAAATTAGACTCATGGAAATGAATCAAAGCTAACACTCCCAATTCATAAGTGAAATCCAGAGCAAGTACCACATGTGTCTAAATGCTCATTACCCTAGGACTACAAGCATAACAGAAGGTCCGGTTCTTCTAGAGGTGCAAGGCTCAGCGGGCCCTTAGCAAGCTCTTGCCTGCTTCCCGGACTGGAATGTACACTCTGCAAGTAGGATCTGTCTGTTCTGCTCACTGTTTATCCTCGGCTCCTAGCACATTGCCCAGTATACAGCAGATGCTCAAGTAATATCCACTGAATGAACCCAATGATATTTGCATTTTGAATGCCTGGTTAAGGACAGAAGGCACTGGTTAACCAGTAGGAGGAATCCCAGTGGTAGAATTTCAGGCATGCGGTATCAGAGGGAGGACACAGGAGTCCATTTAGTCCAGGCTCATCAAATCACCCAGCAGCAAGGCCAGTTGTGATTAGGAACCAATCTGCAAGAGGTAAAAACCAGAGGGAAAAGCAATTCCTATGTAAAGATTTTACTGTGAAAAGCAAATCTTCAAAGTGACAGTGACAATTAAACAAGCTACTTTAGCAAATTAATCATTCATTTGGATTTATGGCTTTTTTTTTTTTTTTTTTGAGAGACAGTGAGATGTTGTCTCACTATGTTGTCCAGGCTGGTCTCAAACTCCTGAACTCAAATGATCTTCCCACCTCAGCCTCCCTAGCAGCTGAGACTACAGGCATGCATCATCTCAAACATATATATATATATATATATATATATATTTTTTTTTTTTTTTTTTTTTTT